AGTATGTAAAGTTATGGAGAAGATTATTAGGAGAAGGGTAGTGGAGCACTTAAAGAGGCAAGGGCTCATACATGACAATCAGCATGGCTTCAGGGAAGGGAAATCCTGCATCACAAACCTACTAGAGTTATATGCTAAGGTAACAGAAGTAAAACAGAAGAGAGAGCGATGGGTAGACTGCATCTTCTTGGACTGTAAGAAGGCTTTCGACACACTACCACACAAGAGACTGGTTGAAAAGCTAAAAGAGCAGGCTGAAATAGCAGGGAAAGTACTGCAATGGATCAAGGAATACCTGATAGGAAGGAATCAACGTGTGCTGGTACGTGACGAGGCGTCAGAGTGGGTGCATGTGTCGGGTGGGGTTCCACGAGGGTCAGTCCTGGGTTCGATGCTGTTTCTAGTATATGTGAATGACATGACAGAAGAGATAGATCCAGAGGTGTCCCTGTTTGTAGACGAAACACGTCCTAATGTTTCCACCCGTACTGGGGGATTGAACCACGTATCCCAATGTGTAAGCTGAGTGCGCTGCCAATCACCAACAGCATTACAAAGGTATCCAGTTATCTTACAATTTTAATCTTTCTCAACGATTCTGGGATCGACTCAGATATTTGTGTCTATATTCTAAATGCTACCTATATCTCTCTCCCCGTGCCAAGAGCAGGTTGAGTAGTAACTAAGTTAGTTTAATATCTTCATTATGCCCCCATACCCATCCTGTGGGCGGTAGTCAAAAAGATTGCAGAGGTACATAATGGGTCCAGGGACTGGGCCCCAAAATTTTGATAGCTGAACAAGTTACAAAGGTAATGAACTCCAGGTAGATCTGGTCACAATCATGACAGGTTACAAAGGTAATGACCCATCTACACGTCTATACATGGTTACAATCATGAACAAATTACAAAGTAATAGCTAAGCGAACCTTTGTACACCAGACGTCTGGCAGCAGGGTTTATACGGCACCAACCGTCTAATACTGTTATCCTACCTCAGTTACTGTTATCTTACCTCAGTTACTGTTATCCTACCTCAGTTACTGTTATCTTACCTCAGTTACTGTTATCCTACCTCAGTTACTGTTATCTTACCTCAGTTACTGTTATCCTACCTCAGTTACTGTATCCTTACCTCAGTTACTGTTATCCTACCTCAGTTACTGTTATCTTACCTCAGTTACTGTTATCCTACCTCAGTTACTGTATCTTACTCAGTTTGTTATCTTACCTCAGTTACTGTTATCTACCTCAGTTACTGTTATCTTCCTCAGTTACTGTTATCTACCTCAGTTTTTATCTTACCTCAGTTACTGTTATCCTACCTCAGTTACTGTTATCTTACCTCAGTTACTGTTATCCTACCTCAGTTACTGTTATCTTACCTCAGTTACTGTTATCCTACCTCAGTTACTGTTATCCTACCTCAGTTACTGTTACCCTATCTCAGTTACTGTTACCCTACCTCAGTTACTGTTACCCTATCTAAGTTACTGTTACCTTACCTCAGTTACTGTTACCCTACCTCAGTTACTTTTATCCTACCTCAGTTACTTTATCCTACCTCAGTTACTGTTATCCTACCTCAGTTACTGTTATCCTACCTCAGTTACTGTTATCCTACCTCAGTTACTGTTATCCTACCTCAGTTTCTTTTATCCTACTTCAGTTACGTTTATCCTGCCTCAGTTACGCTTACCTACCTCAGTTTTTATCCTACCTCAGTTACTGTCATCCTACCTCAGTTACTTTTATCCTACCTCAGTTACTTTTATCCTACCTCAGTTACTTCTAACACCTCAGTTACTTTTGCATTCAGTTATTTATCCTAGCCAGCTATGTTATCCTACTCAGTTACTTTATCCTACCTCAGTTACTTTATCTACTCAGTTAGTTACCTGCTAAGTTACTGTTATCTACCTCAGTTACTGTTATCCTACTAATTATGTTATCCTATGTTATGTTATCCTCTCATTATGGTTATCCTACAGTTATGTTCTGCCTATTAGCTACTACTAGTTTTGATCCTACTCAGTTTGCACTACTAGTTACTTTATCCTACATCAGTACTTTTATCCTACTCAGCTGTACCTTCTCAGTTATTTACTACCTCAGTTACTGTTATCCCTACCTCAGACTTTGATCCTACTCAGTTATGTTATCCTACTCAGTTATTAGTCCTACCTCAGTTACGTTATCCTAGCCTCAGTTCTTTTAAAGGTACCTATCAATAGTCTGCTAACACCGTCCAGTTGTTGATAAGTGATGAAAGGCAGCAGATTAAGGAGACTGGCCATCGTTTTTCAAGATACTGTGAAACTGATATCATATTTCATTATTATTTTATTATTGGTGTTTTGCACTTAGACAACACTAGGTTAAGGTTATAGGCATTGTTTGATCCAGGAAGGCGAGGTATCTAATTGCCACATCAAGAGCTTTCACCGCGTAAGGTAACCTTCCAAAACATCGCACCACAAGATTCACGTTATCGTAATTACATTAGTGCGAAGAATCTAGATATTGTTTAAATTAATATTTAGTTTGTGTAGGTTTGATTTATAATCTGTTCAAGTTACGAATGTTGTTGATAATTTTATTTGTTTGAGTTATTGGTTTATGCCCTTGGTACAATTTGACGTTATGAGGTGGTTGACAATAGCGAGGTAATATTGAGCACATCTCGACAGTTCACCGAGAGACTCAGTGTACTCAAAGATCGGTTCTACACCTCGTGGCGACATGAGTTCAGTCTCCTGATCTTCGCCTGTTAGTGTGACTAACCACTGGTTCAAGTCTAACCGAAACGTCGTCATAAGCTTCTTTCTATGTGCAGGTTATTTGTGTACAGTCCCCTTATACCCACTTCCCTTGTTCCTCAAGTAGCAAATGGTTGAAGCCTACTTCCACCACTTTCTCGTCGAGGTCATTTCACTTCTTGACCTTCCCGAGGTTGAAAACCTACCTACTAACATCCCTGTGGCTCGTCTGTGTTTAACTTACAGCTGTGCTCCATGTTTCCTGGCCTCTCCACAAACCTTTCGCCCTGTTTACCCTAACGATTCCTCTGAAGCATTTGGCTCTTGTAGGCCCGTTCTAGGGAAGGACCCAGTCAAAAACAAGGCACACGGCTGTTGAAGAAGGAAAAGGCATAATACCGTGACTGTAAGAATATACAAATAAACCGCACACATGAGAGAACAGCTTATGACGATGTTTCGGTCCGACCTGGACTATTTACAAGTCACAATAATACACGAAGATGAGGGAGCAATTATATATAGGAGAAGGGGACAAGGAAGGGACAGAGAGAGGAAGAAAGTGGAAAAATAGTGGTAGAGGTAGAGGTAATGCTGGTAGTGGAAGTAGTAGTGGAAGTAGTAAATAGGGGGAGTAGTGGTAGTAGTAAATAAGGGGAGTAGTGGTAGACAGAAAGGGCAGTGAAGGGAGACATTAGTGGTACGTTGATCTGTGAGACAAGCCTACCTCGTAAGATGAGTCACAAACATGGGGATTTCACGCGTACCTGTATAAAAATCTTTGTAAGTGGGGTTTCCGACTTCTCCGAATCGGTTGGATTTTTCCGGTATGTCTAGATAAGTAAGTTTATTCAGGTATACACAAATACAGTTACATAGATCATACATACATCTTTCAATGGGCTGCAGAAAACAATATGAAGTTCATAGATGAGAAATTTCAATTACTCCGATATGGTAAACATAAGGAAATTAACACTTCATTAGAGTATAAAACAAATTCCAGCCACAAAATAAAGCGAAAAACTAACGTCAAAGACTTGGGAGTGATCATGTCGGAGGATCTCACCTTCAAGGACTATAACATTGTATCGCATCTGCTAGAAAAATGACAGGATGGATAATGAGAACTTTCAAAACTAAAATCACTCACTACGAAATCAAAAGACTCGGCAGACGATGCAACATCCCCCCAGTGAAAAGCAGGGGTGTCACTAGCACGTTAAGAGACAACACAATAAGTGTCAGGGGTCTGAGACTGTTCAACTTCCTCTCAGCATACATAAGGGGGATTACCAACAGACCCCTGGCTGTCTTCAAGCTGGCACTGGACAAGCACCTAAAGTCGGTACCTGACCAGCCCGGCTGTGGTTCGTACGTTGGATTGCATGCATCCAGCAGTAACAGCCTGGTTGATCAGGCTCTGATCCACCAGGAGGCCTGGTCACAGACCGGGCCGCGAGGGCGTTGACCCCCGGAACTCTCTCCAGGTAATACGTATAGAGAACCTAGGATAACCCAGAAAAGGCAGAGTGACTTATTTCCATTGGTATCAACAACGGAGTGGAAACATTGGACGTGTTTCCTTACACCGGTTGTCCATGTTCACCCATCAGTAAAATGGGTAACTGAGTGTTAGTCGACTGGTGTGGGTCGCATCCTGGGACAAAACTGACCCAATTTGCCCGAGATGCTCAGCATAACAAGCGGCTTTCTATATAGTAGTATGTCATTGATGTCAGCTAGGACTGTATACCTTGTACACATACTTGTAGTAAATAAATATATTAATATTATTATTACTATGACGTACTGCGTCGCAATATTGACGCTGAACCCTAAATGCACAATTGCACCCTGTGGTACTGCTTTTTGCTCAAAATATCGAGTATGTACAAGTGCTAGGAAAAAATCATTATCATGAATTTGAAGTACGTGATTCTAAACAGGAAAATCAAGTTTTTTTCCCCCATTGTAAATCGAGTTACGGGGTAAAAGGCAGCCAATGAGGTGCCAGCATACTGGAGGTGTGTCTCAGGTGAGGTAAATGCAGTGAAAATACCATTAAATATATATCAACTAACAAAGTTACAGCAGGGATAGATGTGTTGATCAGTATCACACACGGCCACAGTGGGCAGTAAGAAATACCCTCTCGACAAAGAAAAATATAGAAAACGTTTATTTTGGATGTTGTCAGAGTATGGCAACTGTGAAGGGTATGAGAGGTGGGTAGCATCAGCACATGGTGCAAGTAGTGAGTGTGTCACAGTGGTTGGGTGTAGACACTCTGCTCCCTCCTCTCCCTGGGCACAAGCACACACGTACTTCCAACATGAGTTCTCTCCTCAATAACTTGATCGTGACGGATCCTTCTGGGTCCAGCAGGAAGGAGAGCGGTGGCAACCTCATCCACCTCCAGCAGAGACCCACGGAGGACATGGCAACACAAGGGTATGTCTCCAACAATTTTTTTGTTAGTAGACTCACTATTTGTGTTCTCTCAGGTTGCAGGCGAGCCTGCAACATTGTTTTCAATATTGCATTCGACTTTTAATCCCTACTGTTTTGTAATACATTCGTGACGCCTCATCCATACTTACATTATTAATGCAAATTCAAATTCAAATTCAAAGTTTATTCTCTATAAGGATTACAATGCTGAGTTTACAGAAATTTGGTTATTGTTTGGTTTACATGTAGTAAATTGTGATTACAGAGTGTACCACTAGAACGCTTAGCATGGCTAGGCATTTCGGGCATACTTAGTTTTATTCTTAATTGTAAAATATTACAAATTATGAGGTAAGTTGGTATTATGGCTAAGTGACTAAATACTAGTTTGTGAGTTTAGCAATGTGAATGCTTTTGTTTTGGCACAGTACATAGTTTCAGTATTGGAGTATCACAGGATTCATTATTTTAAGACTGAGATTAATATTTCTGTTTATGGTCAAATGAGTGAGTGTAAGTGTGAACCACCAGGTGGTATTCGTGTAGTTAGTTGACGGGGTGTATCAGGGAGATAAGATGTTTTCTAATGGTAGTTTTGAAGGTGATGAATGTGTCTGCAGTTCTAGAGTTCTCAGGTAGGGTATTCCAGATTTTAGGGCCTTTGACATACATTGAATTTTTGTAAAGGTTTAGTCGGACACGGGGAATGTCGTAGAGATGTTTGTGTCTGGTGTTATGCCTGTGGGTTCTGTCACAACTATCAAGAAAGCGTTTTAGGTCAAGGTTGATATTGGAGTTTAAGGTCCTGTAGATGTAGATTGCACAGTAGTAAATGTGGATGTACTGAACAGGGAGTAAGTTTAGATCTATGAAGAGTGGGAGGGTGTGTTGCCAGGGATGGGATTTAGTGATTATTCTTACTGCAGCTTTTTGTTGGGTTATTATTGGCTTTAGGTGTGTTGCTGCAGTTGATCCCCAAGCACAAATAGCATAGGTGAGGTATGGATAAATAAGTGAGTGGTATAGTGTGAGAAGGGCATTTTGCGGCACGTAGTATCGTATCTTGGAGAGGATCCCAACATGGTAAGTATGTAAGTTGATTCACGTACATGAGTACAATTATCATTCCCAGTAATATGTATATATTATCTAGGATAAGCCCTAAAAAAGTCAGGCTTATTTCCATTGGTGTCCTTGGTATATAATATTGTTTTATCAGTATTTACATCATTAACAAACAGATATGTACCTGGACACCTGAGCATAGTTAAGATTACACTATATTAGTACATTATCTTGTTATTTGGTTAATGCTACACTGTGGTTTTGTGTCCGAGATAAAAAAGATTAAAGCATTATGTCAAGCCTTGTAAAGTCGTCAATTAAGTCCTGTGTAATATTTCTAATCGTTTTTGTTTCACATTCAGTAAGGGTTTGATTGTACTATATTTGCTAACCAGGACTGACAGTGGTGAAGATAAGATAAGATTTCGTTCGGATTTTTAACCCCAGAGGGTTAGCCACCCAGGATAACCCAAGAAAGCCAGTGCGTCATTGAGGACTCTCTAACTGCCCCCCAGGATGCGACCCACACCAGTCGACTAACACCCAGGTACCTATTTGCTGCTAGGTGAACAGGACAACAGGTGTAAGGAAACGTGTCGAATGTTTCCACCCGCCGGGAATCGAACCCGGGCCCTCCGTGTGTGAAGCGGGAGCTTTAGCCACCAGGCCACGGGCCACCAGTTATACTCCATCAACTAACCAACCTACCAAATGACCTCCAAGAAGTTAAAGCTGCCACTAATTGAAGTGACTGTGCGTGAGTCCGTGATTGTTACGAGAGAAACTTTTAGATTATTTTATGACTGCTAGTTGAACAGCAAGTGTAGTGAGATTTATCCCTATACTGCTCAGAGGCAGTACAGATATAGCTTACAGAACAAGATCAAAAGAACGAATTAACTGTTGCAGGCCTACTGGCCCATGACAGGCCGGTCTAACTCACAACCACTAGCACGAGCCCTCAGTATTCTTTGGAGAAAGCTTAGCTCTAGGTGAAATACCGGAGCCTTCAAGAGTGCAGAGATAGCTCATTTGCATAAAGGAGGTAGTAGAGCACTAGCTAAAAACTACAGACCAGTAGCCCTAACTTTTCACAATAAAAATCTTCGAAAGAGTGATGAGACGGCAGATTACAAATTTCATGGCCCAGCACAACCAGCATAACCAGAGCCCAGTGGCCCAGTGGCTAACGCGACGGTCTGGAGTTTTGAGACTCTCTGATCGCGGGTTCTATTCCCGCCCGTGGTAAGGATTGTCCAGGCTAACAGGCATGATGGATGGCAGGTCAGGCATCAGCCAGGCATGATGACTGGCAGAGCAGGCAGACAGCCAGGCATGATGACTGGCAGGTTAGGCAGACAGTCAGGCATGATGGCTGGCAGGGAAGGCAGGATGTCAGCAGACAGGCAGGGAAGCAGCTAGATAGGCTGGCTGGAGGGCTTAGCAACTATGCCATTTCTTCACGTATTGTTTACAATACATAGCTAGGTTAGGTGAGGTTAAGTTAAAGATCGAGACACTCGTGCAGCATATGGTAATCTTTATTAAGGAAACGTTTCGCCCCACAGTGGCTTCATCAATCCAATACAAAGTAGAAATGGGTAAGCCTCTGTGGCAAAACACTTCCTTAATAAAGATTCACATATGTTGCATAAGTGTCTCAACTTGTCGGTTTTCAAATCCATTTATCACACAAGGTTTAGTTAGGTTAGGTGAGATTAAGTTAGGTTATATAATCTGAGAAGTGTGTATATCATTTATTGAGATACTGTGTATAAACACCAATAGGTGTATATCTCTCTCTCAGGATATATGTGCTAAGTAATTATTTAAATCTCTATATTATATGTGATTAGTCTTGATTTTAGTGTATAGGTGAATAGCCTACATGACTCACACACACAGTTGCTAGGCTTGAAGCAACAAGGTGTGGAGAGTGGGGTAGTGGGAAGTTTGGGGAATTCACGTGTTGACCAACCCAAGATTACAAGACTTCAGAGGATAACATCCATGAGTGTCTCATCCAAGGTATTGCCGGAAGGTACTGACGGCACAAGCTATATATAACGCCGTTATTCATTCTTATTTTTTCATTTGAACATTTCGGTCATATCTTCCCTAATTCTATTTATTTCCAGAGAGTTCAAATTCAGTGGAAAGGTTATATGACACAAGGGATAAACTTCGTCATTCATTGAACCCTTTCCATAGCAATTAGTGAGCAGCATAATCTAAATGAAATTGAATTATAACCTTAGGACTTACCTATATTGGGCCCCTACTTAAACAAGATGGGTCCTACACAGATGACAGCAAGGAAATGAGTGAGCTACTCAAGTCCCAATATGACTCAGTTTTTAGCAAGCCGCTAACCAGACTGAGAGTCGAAGATCAAAATTAATTTTTTATGAGAGAGCCACAAAATTTGATTAACACAAGCCTATCCGATGTTATCCTGACGCCAAATGACTTCGAACAGGCGATAAATGACATGCCCATGCACTCTGCCCCAGGGCCAGACTCATGGAACTCTGTGTTCATCAAGAACTGCAAGAAGCCCCTATCACGAGCCTTTTCCATCCTATGGAGAGGGAGCATGGACACGGGGGTCGTCCCACAGTTACTAAAAACAACAGACATAGCCCCACTCCACAAAGGGGGCAGTAAAGCAACAGCAAAGAACTACAGACCAATAGCACTAACATCCCATATCATAAAAATCTTTGAAAGGGTCCTAAGAAGCAAGATCACCACCCATCTAGAAACCCATCAGTTACACAACCCAGGGCAACATGGGTTTAGAACAGGTCGCTCCTGTCTGTCTCAACTATTGGATCACTACGACAAGGTCCTAAATGCACTAGAAGACAAAAAGAATGCAGATGTAATATATACAGACTTTGCAAAAGCCTTCGACAAGTGTGACCATGGCGTAATAGCGCACAAAATGCGTGCTAAAGGAATAACAGGAAAAGTCGGTCGATGGATCTATAATTTCCTCACTAACAGAACACAGAGAGTAATCGTCAACAGAGTAAAGTCCGAGGCAGCTACGGTGAAAAGCTCTGTTCCACAAGGCACAGTACTCGCTCCCATCTTGTTCCTCATCCTCATATCCGACATAGACAAGGATGTCAGCCACAGCACCGTGTCTTCCTTTGCAGATGACACCCGAATCTGCATGACAGTGTCTTCCATTGCAGACACTGCAAAGCTCCAGGCGGACATCAACAGAATCTTTCAGTGGGCTGCAGAAAACAATATGAAGTTCAACGATGAGAAATTTCAATTACTCAGATATGGTAAACATGAGGAAATTAAATCTTCATCAGAGTACAAAACAAATTCTGGCCACAAAATAGAGCGAAACACCAACGTCAAAGACCTGGGAGTGATCATGTCGGAGGATCTCACCTTCAAGGACCATAACATTGTATCAATCGCATCTGCTAGAAAAATGACAGGATGGATAATGAGAACCTTCAAAACTAGGGAGGCCAAGCCCATGATGACACTCTTCAGGTCACTTGTTCTATCTAGGCTGGAATATTGCTGCACACTAACAGCACCTTTCAAGGCAGGTGAAATTGCCGACCTAGAAAATGTACAGAGAACTTTCACGGCGCGCATAACGGAGATAAAACACCTCAATTACTGGGAGCGCTTGAGGTTCCTAAACCTGTATTCCCTGGAATGCAGGAGGGAGAGATACATGATTATATACACCTGGAAAATCCTAGAGGGACTAGTACCGAACTTGCACATGAAAATCACTCACTACGAAAGCAAAAGACTTGGCAGACGATGCACCATCCCCCCAATGAAAAGCAGGGGTGTCACTAGCACGTTAAGAGACCATACAATAAGTGTCAGGGGCCCGAGACTGTTCAACTGCCTCCCAGCACACATAAGGGGGATTACCAACAGACCCCTGG